CAAAAGGGTATTTGCCAAAGAATGCAGGGACTTGGCAATGATTAACTTAATTAACTTGCATCAAAATGATAAGAGACTACACTTTGAAGGAGGCAAGGGAGAAATGTAAAAGCCGTTTAGGCTCAGGTCTCTTTGTTCCCATTCACCACATCCTGTGCAAGGTAGACAAACCAGTGTGTCCTCCTTACTCTCCTCCTCCTATGCTATCTCCTGTACCTAGAATTTCCTTTCTAATTGGGTCTGTCATACTGATCTTTTCAGAAGGCCTTTGAAGTACAGAAGTTGTAGTCACTTTGTCCTGCCACTGCTGACAGAGATGCTACTTTTCCAGGGTGTGTTTTTTTTAAAAGATCACCAGGTTTAGAATTTCTTGAAAACGGGGTGTTTTTATGACCATGATATATGCTGCTCCCCTCTCTTCTTCCCTCCTGTTTCCAGGTATTGATTTCAGCATTGGAGGTTGCAGTTCTTCAAAGACGCCCCTTACACCAGGGGAGGGCAATTATTTTGAGCAGAGGGCTGCTTACTGAGTTTTGGCAAGCCATCAAGGGCTGCATGACAGGTAGCCAGGAGCAGATAAATATTAATTTTCTAAATTTTTTAGGGGCCCTGAGGGTTGGATAGAATGGCTTGGCGGGCCACACGTGGCCTGCAGGCTGCATTTTCCCCACCTCTGCTTTACACTGTCTTTCTCTAAAGTCCCCGACAGATGTTCAGTTAAGGGTACAATGGGATCTGATCTGTGATTCCTAAGTCACACCTCCTGCCATACCATCGTACCTTGTTGCTAGTTCAGGGAGGGCCTGGGATCACAATCTGTGTGGTGTGTGTGTGTGTGTGTATGGTAGGGTGTGGGTGTGTGGTAGGATGTGGGAGGGTTGTAAGGGAGTGTGGGGGGGCATAGGCTATGTTGGGGGGGTTGTGTATATGTGGGGGGATGTGGGGGCAGAGTGTGGATGTGTGGGAGGTTAGGGGTGTGTTGGGACTATGTGGCAGGGCACTGGTTGTGCTGCCACTTTAAGGGCCTGGAGCTGGCAGTAGCCAGCAGGTGCCTGATGAGGGCAGCCATTTTGAATCTAGGGCTGCCCGTATAAACAGGGCAGTTCTGGTGCCTGGGGGCCAGGCAACAACACTGCCTGGCTGGAAGGCTGCTGGTATCATCTGGAGGTAAGGGGGGAGCTGTAGGGGATGGTCAGGAGGTTCCTGGTCCTGGGCATGACCTAAAACTGCACCCTGCTGGGAGTGGGTGGCCTGGTGGGGGTCCCAGTGGCA